GTGTCGGATGAGACTCGCTCTTGGATCGTTACTCACACTTGCGTGTGGCTCCAACGATGACCTGTACAGCTGCCCATAGAACCTCTCAATCTCACTCAAAATCTCAGGTGTCCCGGAAACGATGCTGCCACATTCTGTCTTCAGCTTTGACAGTTGGCTCTTTCTGGCAGATAGATCTCTGGCAAAGACTTTGGAGCCTTGGTTCCGCTCGATCGCTTCTTCAATACGAGCTGTATTGAAGTTGCGTAAGTCCCGCCGCATGCATTTGGAGATCTGTTTGTTCAGATGCCTGTATGCTGTCAAGTCTGTTGAAGAATGTAGCTTCATCTCCCGTCTAACAGCCATGAGATTAAGAGTGTGTTCGGAGAGTTTTTGTGTTCTTCTTTTGTTCTAAAAAAATGTAAAATTATATTATTTTAGTGTAACTACTTCTTATACAAAAAGTTAACAATTTTCTAAAAAATTTTCAACCGTTTAGCAGCTATGTAGAAATATCCACAAAATTATAAAAAAAAATGCCAACCCATTGCTAAAGTCAAGCGTTGTAACTATAGCAAAATCTCTCTTATGTGACGATCTGTGGGGAAGGCCTATTCTCATCAGTGTATCTTGAAAAGGCTGAAAATATTAGAAAGATTTCATCGATGTGTGAGCATGACATAACTCTTAAAATTGTAGAATAAAGTAACGTATTATCTGAGAGCATGTTAACGTGTTATATAACTGCTGTTTGAGAGCATCATTTAGTTTCCCCGACATTTCAACGCCATTTTAATTTTAATCGTGTCATAAATTATTTACATGTGAAAAGAAAAAAAATTACATTACGGATCAGAAGTTTTATACGCAATCTATCTAATGATGGGGTATTGTAATATTATTTTTTTCACACATAATATTTCTATCCCTGGCCTGTCACTCGGTTGAATTATTACTGTTTATGTTGCTTACGGTAAGGTATACGGAATTCATGTTCCTACAGCTTTAACCAATAAATCCTCAATTCTTTTTATATTTTAGTTTTTCCTTATACTGTTGCTTGCAATTTCAGCTGCTGATTTACCAAGTTAGTGGTGAAAAAAAGTGTTGTGAGGAAATCTACATGTCAAATTTTTTTAAAGTAATTTAAGAACATGTGATGTTCACAATTTTCTTTTCGTATTTGCGGTGAGTGAACAGTATTATTTTATTTAAGACAGTGGGAAAGAGAAAATACCCTAAAACCAGCGTAATCGACATAACCCAACGGATTAGTAAGATTTTATAAACCGTAAATTATTTATAGAAAATATACCGGATATAGACCAACGGGTGCCTTTTTATACATTCGTTTCTCTCACAAGTGTCAAACGCAATACACAAACTACACTAAAACTACTAACTAAATCAGTTGGCACAAACTTGCATAACAAAGAAATTGTAGTGGCCGTCCTAATTCTATAAATAACTTAGCCTTTTGTTATGAGAAACATTTTTATATACTCTTAAGTGATGTGCGTGAGCACTCAGGGACAATGCTGGGACTAAGGATTTAGTAATAAACTTAAAAAAATGAATGAATTTGTCACTTAAGTCTAATAGAAATATTTATTTATTTATTTATTTATTTATTTATTTATTTATTGCACCAACAAAGTACACACTGTTACATACAAAAATATCAGAAATACAAAAAAAAAAACATATAAAGTGCTACTTCAATTAAAGGCGCAAACAGCATTCTCTGAAAGTCACGTACATTAACTTATTTTGTGAAGAAATTTAATTTATTTATGTTAAAATGAATGCATTTTTATAAGGAAGTTACTATACAATTAATTAATTTATTAGCAATATTAACAACAACAATAATAAAATTTAACTATATCAAAAACAATATAACATTCAAAAACTAATAAAAATAAAAACATCAATTTAAATTTAAACAAGTCAAAATGTCATTAAAATAAAAATTCATATTATAATTCAAAATTTAAAATTGAAAATAAAAATAAAACAAACGCTCACAAATATTTTAAATTAAAATTACCTATCGTACATAAAAATCAAATTAATCAATTTAATAATCAAATTATTCTGTTATTACTTGAGCTGCAAAATTTTTAAATTGTGTTAAGGAGTTTGAAAAAATATCTAACTGAGAAGATTCTTTTTCAGTTTCACTGGATATAGAGTTGTGAATGAGATTGTAGCTCCTCAACGCTCTGTTTAATGGAGCATAATGACCCAAATTTGACGTAGCTGGATAACTTTTAAAGGGAGGTTTCTTAAGTCTGTTTGGCTTTCTAGGTACAGTAATATTTACTCTAGATAAAAGATCAGGGGTGTCAAAATTTCCATTTATTAGCTTATACAGAAAAATGACGTCAAGCAGTTCCCTACGGTGTCGGAGTGATTTGAGGCGAAAATGTAGTAGTCGATCGTTGTAACTTGAAAGTTTCATGGCTAAGTTGCAACTATAGGACAAATGCCATAAAAATCGCTTTTGCACACTCTCTAAGCGTTTGATATATGTACCGTAGTGCGGATTTCACACAGTACTGCCATATTCTAACATGCTACGTACAAGGCAGTTATATACTGTAATTTTTGTCATGGGATTCCTAAATTCTTTACAGTTTCGAAGGACAAAGCCCAGTATTCTAAGAGCCTTATTTATAACATTGTCAATATGAATATTGAAGCGTAGTTTGCTGTCAATGATGACTCCTAGGTCTCGAATGTGGCTAACCTCTCTTAGTGGCACATCACTGATATGATAGAGTCTGGTTGGTAGATGTCTTTTTCTGCTGAATCGCACTACTTGGCATTTATCAGGATTCATGCTCATTCCGTTCTCAGTACACCACATCGATAAATTATTTAAATCCCTCTGCAGTAATAATGCATCATCCGATGAGTTAACTATTCTATATAATTTTAAGTCGTCAGCGAACATTGAGAATTTAGAGTTCTGAAAACATTTTCCAATGTCGTTGATGAAAATGTTGAAAAATAAAAAGGACCTAAGTGAGACCCTTGAGGTACTCCAGATATAGCAATAAATGCTTTGGATTTATACCCTCCGGCCACAACCATTGATTGTCTATCAGAAAGGTATGATCTACACCATTTTAAAAACATACCGGTTATTCCGATGGAGGAAAGTTTGTGCAACAGTATTTCATGATTTACCCTGTCGAAGGCCCTACTGAAATCGGTGTATATTGCATCGTATGATTTCCCGTGATCGACCCCCTCAGCAAGGTCCTCGACGAAGGAAACTAAGTTAGTTGAGGTGGAACGTGACTTTACGAAGCCATGCTGTTGGGGTGCGATAACCTGTTTCAAGTGACAAGATATTATAGGGCACAAAAGGGATTCAAAAACTTTAGCAAATGTTGGAAGTATAGATATAGGCCTATAATTTTTTACTGCACTCGTGTCACCTGTCTTGAATAAAGGTATTACAAGAGCACTTTTCCAAGCTGTTGGGAATATGCCAGAACTTAAGGAGCTATTAATAATAACACTAAGTGGCAGTGCGAGTGCTCCAGCACATCTTATGGCAAAAATAGAAGGTATTCCATCGGAGCTGGCACCCTTAGCAGGGTCAAGTCTTTTTAAAACTCTGAAAACTTGCTCTGTAGTTACCGATATTGTAGTTAAGTAATTAGCACCTAGTGTCAAATGAGATTGCCCTGGGATGGGTAAGTTTTCAGTGTTGTAAGCCGAGGAAAACTGAGATGCAAATAGATCGCATATGCCTGTTCCCGATGAAGCAACTTTTGTGCCGAAAGACATTTGTGCAGGGTAAGTGTTGGTCCCACCTCTTTTATGTTTAATAAAGCTCCACATAAGTTTAGGGTTAGTAGATAATGATGACTCTAGGCGCCTTATGTATAATTTGTAGCTTAAGTTGTGAAGTTTTGTACATCTGTCCCTCAGTACTTCAAAAGTGATTAAATCTCGGGGATTGCCATATTTGCGGTATTTAATTCGATATTTCAGTTTCTCGTTGATTACCTTAACTAATGCAGTGGAAAACCACATTGGATATTTACTAGAGCGCGGTTTGTATTTTGGAACATGTTTGATAATGAGGAGCCTAAGAATTTTATAGAAATATGTCACCATGTCGTCTACGCTAGTACAGTTAGATAATTCTTTTACCCATTGGATGTTATTTAGTTCGCTTATTATCTTTTCATAGTCTGCTTTGTGAAAGCGGTATCTGGATACATCTTGGGATTTTAAATTTTCTTTGTGGTCGATTTCAACACAAAGTTCAATGGGAGGATGCAGCGGGTCAATTTTGGATAGAGGGTCACTACTTTCACAAATGTGTGCGATTGTCAAAGAGCTCATTATTAGGTCTAGAATTTGATTTTTTATATTAAGGCATGAATTATATTGTAATAAATTATTAAATGACATGAAATCCACTATCACATTGTTTAACAAACTATTTGTAGTTATAGGCGTTAGTGCCATAGTAGGCGTCTTGTTCCAACAAAGACTGCTCAAATTAAAATCCCCAAGAACAGTAATATTAGAACTGAGATTTTGCAACACACTGTTGGTGTTTGTAACAAAGTGTTCCAAAATATGCTTCTGTACAGGGGGAGGAATATAAACGCCACATATATACAAATAATCAATTACACCCTTCTTATCGAGTATTTCGATTTTAACCCAGATATCCTCACAGTCCGACTGTCAATCATACATTCGGTAGGATATAAAACGCTTAGAGACAGCTATCAAAACTCCACCCCCCAGTTTACTACTGTGAAATCCACTGCTTTCCCTATCTCGTCTGTAAACTATATAACGATCGTCAAATAATTCCGTATCCGAAACACTACTATTTAGCCATGTCTCTGTAAAAACTATAACATCATAATTGCTGCACACAACCTTGCTAAATAGCTCAATTGTTTTAGTTTTTAAACCTCTTACATTTTGATAGAAACAGTTTAATGGGCCCCTAAGTACAAACAAATTAAAATTTAGCGGCATTATGACAACTTATTTAATAAAGCTATGTCTTTTACATATATATGGCCTGACTGCTCATCCTTCCGCATGTATATCTTAGAATCCCGCACCCAAACGAATTTATACCCAAGTTCTTTGGCTTTGGAACGTGTTGCAGCATGCAAGTGCTTGTTCTCGCGTGTAAGATGTTCCACTACATATACGGCTGTTTTCTTAGTCCCACCGATACCTAGGTGGCTAGTGTTCAACTTGTCTTCTCGATTGTTTCTGTTAAACTTACTAGATGCCGCAAGGAATTCGTCGCGTAGTCGCGCACTGTTGAATTTGACCAGTATCGAGCGAGGGCGAGGACTAGAGTTATTCAACTTAGCTAGTCGCGAGCAGTAATGAATTTGTGAGTCGTTGATTGGGCACTTGATTACTTTTCCCAGCTGAACTACGGTATTTATCAAATTTTCCTGTTTATTCTCAGGGACGCATTGAATTTCCACATTAGAAGAACGCGCATGCCGATCCAGTTGAGCCAGGCGAGATAAAAGCGTTTCATTGGTAGTTTTCAGTAGCTTAGTCTCTGATTTTAAAACATCAATTATTTTCGCCTGCTCCTCATAATCAGCCTTCACTTTCTCAAGTTCTACATTGAAGTGAGCTACCGACGCTTCGAGAGAAGACATCGCAATGCGTACCTCCTGTATTTCGGGGTATATTTTGTGAGTGAAATGAAGTTGTAGTTCTTCCCGAATTATATCACGTATGTTGTTGGCCGTTAAACAAGAACAATTGCTGCCTGTGCGTGACTTCGTTCGCTTCGTAACAAACTCCAGCTGAGGTGATGTCGGGGCGTTGCCAGTTTTGTTATGAACCGGAGTGTTTGAATTATCGCCTCCTTTGCGTTCTCTACTTTGACATTGCACGCAGATCCACTTAGATTTTAACTCAACTGATAGCGCCTTATACTCAGTTAATGTATAGTTCATGCAGGAATGATGATAACCCGCCTTACAACGTGTGCAGTATATTGAGGGAATGTTTGCTAATTCATTCAAACAGGCGTTACATTTATTTGAGTCTGCCATTCTGATTACGTGTTTATACAATTTATAATTTTTAATGAAATATTTCAAATCAAAATTCCGAATTTTAAAAATTTGTGTTGAGAAGAAATTGAAAATCTACAATAAACTGCGTTGGTAGGATTCGATCCCGAAGTCCGGTGAAGCGATCCTCGTAATCCTTATCCGTTGTACCACGGAGATTTATGTTCGTATGAAGAAATTTGTCAAGCGATCCGACAATACTGTTAGGCGTCGATCATGCAACTTATATTGCCATATAAGGTAATCTTCGCTAGTTGGTTATTAGACCAATTATAGCACCTTGACGACCGATGATTCACCAGCTAATGTACACCCACTGCACTGTTTTGTAGATAGAAAAGTAATTATTTAATCACTTAAACACTGTTTATCTTTTGTTTATTAGCGTTATTAAATCACTTATAGTAATGATAACTGAATTACATTTATTAAACGCTTACTAATTCAAAGATCTTAACAAAAATGAATATTAATGTACGGAGCCGTAAATTATACGTCTGCTCGCGGCTATGATCAGTTTAACATTAATTAAGTTGAAACCAAATTTTTCTGTATTCTATATGATTCATTTTGGATGGTTTGCGCAGGAGTTACATGCTTTAATTACACTCTTCCTTTTTAGGGTTCCGTAGCCAAATTCAAAAAACGGAACCCTTATGGATTCGTCATGTCTGTCTGTCTGTCTGTCCGTCCGTATGTCACAGCCACTTTTTTCCAAAACTATAAGAACTATGATGTTGAAACTTGTAACCGCATTTAGATTTTCACACATAAATAGAAAAAAAACAATGAATTTTGGGGGTTTCCCATAAAACTAAAACTCAAAAAAAATTTTTAATTAAACCCATACGTGTGGGGTATCTATGAATAGGTCTTCAAAAATGATATTGAGGTTTCCTATATCATTTTTCTAAACTGAATAGTTAGCGCGAGAAACACTTCCAAAGTGGTAAAATGTGTGTCCCCCCCTGTAACTTCTAAAATAAGAGAATGATAAAACTAAAAAAAAAACATATTACATCATGTTTTTTTATTTTACCATGTAAACTTCCACCGATAATTGGTTTGGACGAGATCTAATAGGTAGTTTCTTTTTAAAGTTACTTGCTGCTACGGAACCCTTCATGGGCGAGTCCGACTCGCACTTGGCCGCTTTTTTTAATTTAGTATCAGACAATCAGGTGGTTGAAGGGTCTTTTTTATCAAATATTTCACGCATTCTAACCAAACGGTTTGCTTCGTCTTTCGTAATGCGTACAGGTATGAAGTGGAACAATCTGCCGGCATATATAATAGTAATATTCCGTTTTTCTGTCAGATTACAATGTAGGCGTCTTCAAGACAAGAGTAAATAGGTTCTCTTCAAGCAAAGAAGTGCATTTTACCATCTAGGGTTTCATCACCGCTTACCACCAGGTGAAATTGTAGTCAAGAACTGGTTTCTAACTAAAACTATTAATAACTGTCTAATAGGTAAAAATGCTTTAACAACCGTACATAAAAGTCTATAGATAATAATAAGAGAAAAGAAATGTTATCCATTTACAAATTTGATCCCACACTGAATTGTTATTACAGAGGACAACCGATTTGCATTAGGAATACTGTATAACTCGGCGCACATACAGCTTGGCCTAGTGCCAGCTCGCATCGAATCTGAATAAATGAGCGTAGATGTAAGACAATTGTTGCTGAAGTATTGTGGGGTTTGTTTGTGGGCCATGCATACATTATTCGCATTTACGGTCAATATCTGTAACTTAATTTCAATCGTTGAGTTTGCGATCTTACTCATAAAATCTACCCGTTACTAGTTACTAGGTCTCGGTTTTTAACGCCTAGCGTAGACAATATAATATATACGTACACCATATACCGTCATTTTTTGTCGTGACGTCATACACCAGAATTATGATACTCTTACGATACCTATAGAGCGAATTTGGTGATGGCGTTGATTACGCCGCCTCCGTAAGGCAAATCTCTATATATAAAAATCAATTACTGTCCGTTAGTTTCGTCGAATTTGATAACAAAAATTGTGTGTGTTCGAGTGGGTCTCTGGATGATCTAAACGATTCATAATTGGACCCGGTAGGTGGTGCTGTTGTCGAGGTTCAGAAATCACCCGTGCGAAGACGGGGTGGATGGCTGGTTTGTAATAAAAAGCCCAAATCTAGAGAGTACGATGTTACGGGACTCCATTTAACATGGGATTCAAGCGCAACAGTAAAACGCTTAGCCACTACGCTTTGGAGTCTTCAAGAACTCTTCCTAACGTTGTGGAAAGTTCGAAATATTTTATAAGAAATTATCGATAAAACTACTATTATTTTTATAAGACAGTAATAATCAAATAAATAGGCAACCACATGTTACTGCACCAGACAGCTTAGTTGCCAGCTGTTGTGCAAATAATTTTTTATAGACGTAGGTGTGAAAAAGAGCAGATAATAAACTTGATGGTGTAATAAAGCAACGAAACTTAAAGATCTTCTCTCGGTTAAGAACCGGAACTCATAATATGAAACCAAAATTTAGATGCGTTACTACCCCTGAGGACTAAGTTATTGAACCAGTAAAAAGCGTCTCTGCTTGTCATCGATGTGATTTATTTATTTCTTTCTTTTATTTTATCTAAAATATAAAAGTATTTGTACTCTTATTTTAATTGAACAATTACTTACAGGTAAATACTACTAAGTCATAATTAAAACACTTCATTTACTATAGAGATTCCCAACCAGTGGTATGCGAAAGATTTAAATATTTTACCACGTCGCAATCCAAATCGCAATTTTTTTACCAAACATATATGATTACTTTTACAATAAATACACAAATAATAGTATTAATGAATGCTTCTTTTCAGTTTATTGTATAATTATATTAAAAGTTGTGATTAAAACTTATTGTCAGATTAACATAATTTTATTTTTCGCCTTGTGGTCCCAGATAACAACAAAGAAATCAAAGTGGTCCCTGGTTAAAAAAGGTTGGGAAATCCTGATTGATATAATATGTTAAGAAAAAATCATTAACCTATGTTAAAGCAAAACAACTAGTAATTTAGATAAGTGTAATAAGTATACAAAAATGATTTCACATAATTTGGAATTGTATCTTATTGGATTAGTACTTACTAAACTTGTACGAGGAAACAAAATATAAATCAGTCCGGCTCCAGACCCCATTATAAAGTTTACAATAAGTCTACAGGAGAGTTGTTGGGATATGGGTATGGGAGCTCAACAGGGTATCCCCGGCACTCTTAAATTAAAGTAGCTTAGATGTTAGGGACAGTTTACTTGAATTCATAAAATTTAAAAAATTAAAGTGAGGTCAATTATAGCTTTGCGTTTTTCAAGAGTCCATATTATAACGTTTTAGTCTGTAAGATTATGAATAGGGCAAGCCCCCACGCGATTCCAGAAGAGTGCACAAGAGCCAAAGGAATTTCTCCTGTATCCTTTCTAACTGTAGATAATGGATAGAATAGTGCGCTCTCCGTACTACGCAACAATACTCAAGCGTACTACGAATGAAGGCATTATATGATTTTTCTGCCGACTTCCAAAAAGGAGCCGTTACTCAATTCGACTGTATGTTTTTTTTTTTTCGTTTTTTTTTTATGTGTGTTACCTCAGAACTTTTTTCTGGGTGAACCGATTTCGATGATTCTTTTTTTATTTGAAAGCTGGTACTTCTCGTGTGGTCCCATATGAATTTGATCAAGGTCAGACCAATAGTTTTTAAGTTATTCTTAAATAACTTATATTGAAGTCGGCTGTACAAAATTTTTAATTTTAAATTATTGATTGATAACTACATACAATTCTATCGTTTCTTATCTATAATATATTATTATCAACCAGAAGTAAAATTCAAATAAAAAGAATACACTTAAAACAAAACTTGTATTTGAAACCTCTTATAACATTTTACAATATTAATTATTATTAGATTACTAGCACGTCCACTCTCTCCGACCGTTCTAGCCAAAGTACTACTGCTGCAACCGCGACCGGCTTTTTGGGCGCAAAACCCCACCATCTCGGTGATGTAACCATAAGCCACGCTCTCTATTTAGTCATCATCATATTGTAACAATATATTATAATCGATATTCGATGCTTTCTTGACAATATAATCATAAAATTCAATTTACGAACATACGAAACATAATATCTGTATAACGATTTCTTATGTTAACCCTGCACATTGAAATAAAACTGGTTAGTACGGACTTTATCGCGTATATTAAGTTATTTATTTTCCCGACACTTCTAGTACTTATTATCATCATGGTCATCTTCATCGTCGTCGTCATTGCCATCACCATTGTCGTCGTCATCGACATCATTATCATAAACACCATCACATTGTAAAAGTCATTGACTTCGTCATTATTATCGTCGTCATTATATCATCCAAATTATCGTTATTATTAACATCATCGTAGTCATCGTCCGGTGCGTTGTCATCGTCATCGTCCGGTGCGTTGTCATCGTCATCGTCCGGTGCGTTGTAATCGTCATCGTCCGGTGCGTTGTCATCGTCATCGTCCGGTGCGTTGTCATCGTCATCGTCCGGTGCGTTGTCATCGTCATCGTCCGGTGCGTTGTCAACGTCATCGTCCGGTGTGTTGTCATCGTCATCGTCCGGTGCGTTGTCATCGTCATCGTCCGGTGCGTTGTCATCGTCATCGTCCGGTGCGTTGTCATCGTCATCGTCCGGTGCGTTGTCATCGTCATCGTCTGGTGCGTTGTCATCGTCATCATCAGGTGCGTTGATCATTTTATTTTACGACCTGCTGACATAAGCGTTAAATTTAACTTTTATCTGACGATTACGATATCAGTCCTAAGACATGAAGGCTATCTCAAGATATTTTCTTACACCACCAATCAGGTGGGAAATCAACACATTTTGTTATAAAAAATCAAAGTTACTTATTTTTTTTTTTTACGGTTGTGTTC